TTTTCAATATGATTTCTGCAAAGACGAATTTTACGACCTCGGTATCGTTCAACTGCACATTTTCTTGCAGTCACTTTAGTGTGCAACTTGCCTGTACTTGCTTCAAGATGGACCCCGTTCCAAGCTCCAATAGTCTTGTGCGTCGCTTCACTAGCGTTTTCCCCAACGCGCCATTCGTTTATGAGTAAAAGATAAAATTGTCCCCACAACAACCCTATCTCAAAACAAGTATAGGAAAGTTGTATATCAAAACGTTTTAAAAAAATAGGCCGTTAAAAGACACCAAATTTACGCAATTTTAATTACTTTTGGTCAATAAATCTGCAAAGTAAATATCTCGCAAATGGCATTGTTCAAATACTCAAGTCGTCATCTTTGAAGTCCTTTAAGAAAACATCATATAGAATATTTTCTATGTCAAAGTCCATATAAACGTAGTGTTTTCTACGTACATCCAAACAAAAAGTAAGAATTCGCATATCTTTATGTCTATTCAGATTTAGCATCATTGACTTCTTTTTGCAACCGAAACCGTTGCTGAACTGATGCGCTTATCGCACTCGTCTACGACTACTCAATTTCTCATGTGCTCCTATATCACCTTATATCCACTCTGGAAACACCTACATTCTGCATTGGTTTTTGCACCTATGTGTTTCTTCATTCCAATAACGTTCACTCCAATCATTTCCTATCCGTCGTTTCAATACCTCACCCTCCTCTACCCATACATATCAGAGACATAGCACTAGTGGATCTAAGAAAATACATCGTCAATGATAAGCTTTGGAGTAATTTATATAACAGCTGTATTGAATCAATATTTATATCACCATTCAGCTTTTTTTTCTGAGATTCCATGCCAGTAATGGGAATAAAGACTTCCTGAACTGTAATAATCTGATTTCACTACGGGTCGATCTGCTCGTCCGCGTAGGCTGTTCCTAATAGTAATCTCTCGTTGATCAATTGAACTTGATGATAAGAAGCGATTATGGTAAAGACTTCAACGCATCGGTTCGCCGTTGACGTCGCCTTTATTCCCTGTTTATTTCCTACCAAGGGATTGCAGCTACAGCAGACATTAAATAATCCCCTTCAAAAGTTCTTCATTGAAGAAAAAACAATGAGTTGCTTTTTAGCACATCATGGAGATCCAGCAGCAATAACATAATTGGTGGACGGAGAGTAAATTGGCAATTAAATGGCAATCAAACCGCTGCAAGAGCAGTCGAACGGTGAGGATGTCACAGTAATTGTTAGAAACATCATTCCAGCGGCACAGTTGATTATATATGTGGAAAATTTGTTAAAAACAGCTACAATTTTTTCCCATTCCTATTTCTCGTTGACAGCAAAGCTTTGAAGAGGGTTTTTCGCCATGTGAGAATACAGGACTATCAAGCAGTTAACGAGAAAGTGCATTATCCCTCAAACAGTTTAGCATATTTTTGGCGACCAGGATTGTGACACAATTAGATTAAGCTACCAAATGACTTGAATGAATTAGCACTACGAGCACCAACCACTCATCTTTCACATACCTATGCGGCACACTAGACCGCTTACTGCGTAATAAATCGAGAGAATTTTATCACAGAGTATGGGTAACGATAAGATTTGACTTCATCACTTCTTCGATATTATAGAGCTTCACTTTTGATAGAAAATAGTAGGCATTAATTCAGAGGTCTTTTTGATACTCGAAAAACCGCACTACCTGATGTCCATGGAGCTGAGCGATTTTCATCATCGATATTGGTATCTAGACGCGATCCGTACTCATCAGGATCACCTAGAAGCGACTTTCGGACCGCAAATTGTGACGAATGTCTGTACATTTCGGGTGTCTGTGGTACATTATGATCTAACAGACGATTTTCAAGAATCACTCCAACAGAAGCTTGCGCTTTTTGCAACGAGAGTCGATCACTATTTGAGCGAGCACGTAGCTGTTACAAATAGAAGTATTATGCGCAAAAATGCTCGGAAAATTGAGGGACAACGAAGAACTGAAACGGCAGTTACCTGATGGTGAGCGCCTCATGCCTATAATCACCGGAATGGGCTGCTGGTAGTTCATGAATGAGACTGATGAGGAAGACGAACTGAATGAAAATAATGAAGATTATCATTTATAAACGAAAAAAACACACGGCGATCAAGTATTGACACGTTTGGGCGTGTGATTGCTGCGAAACAGAACTCCACGCTTTTGCAATGTTCTGAAGTCACATGCTTCCTTGTGTTTGCCGTCTGTCTAAAACTTCGCCTTTCTTTGTTCACGATCGTTTCTGCTTTACACTAACCAAATCACGCATTCATCAATATTACTTAGTTCCAATAAAAGCTGCTGAATTTAGATTTTAGGAGGAACCATTCCATGCTTGGAAGCGATGCGAGGTTCTGAAGAAGGAGCATAAGATGTGCCTGAATTATATTTAATTAATTCGGGGTCAGAATTCTTTTCATTTGACTGCCACTTGCAGTGGTATGATGTTATGGTATATCAAATAATGTGGAGTGCTGCGCAAAAACATTTGCGTCAGCCGGGATTCGAAAATAAATCTCACTCTTTCTCGCATACGCACCGGAAAGCGTGAGATCTGGGTTCGAGTCCCGGCTGACGCAAATGTTTTTGCGCAGCACTCCACATTAATGTGTATACGTCGGCGTCGTTAAGTCGGTACTAGAGGTGCCGCTGAAGACAGCAGCACCGACTCAATGTTCGCTAGGCCACGGCAAGTCATTGCACATCCAAATGAACATGAAATTGCCTCTATGATGCTTGACAGACCGATCCTTATAGCTAATCAATGCAAAATGATTTGGACTTTATGTGCTCCATTTTTCGACTCCTTGGAACGCTTATTTTTGTATTGTAAATCAAAGAGTATATCCTAAAATTTTCCCCTAATCATGTTTTTGTCACATTATAGTTACAGTAAAGCAGAATTACGATTTCTATGAAATAATTTCATGAAACTTATCCACTGATCTTCACCAAAATTTTCTGCTTCTACAAAGTATGCTATTATTTCAGTGAAGCTATACAAGTATTACGCTTTAGTCAAACTGGGAGCGTTTACCTATGTTTATATGGCTGTGAAAAGATTTACACGCACATATGCGCTTACTTTGTCTTAATGTTTATAATCAGTATGATTTGTCCTTTTTCATGATATATTTTACTATAGGTATTCTTTCTTAAGATGACTACCGTTACTACCCCCTCATTCATGAAACTGCTTGGTGATAAAAAGCTATCTAAGTATTCATTTTCTTATATGTATCATTTGTCCTCTAATGAGGATGAAAGAGAAAAGTGAGTTTCAGCAAACAATGTGTTTGTTCTTGTTGTGCATTAGATCTCTCAGGATATCCTGCTAGTCCGATAGATTCGAAGACCAAAATATTTTCTAGAGAGGCATCACGTAATCTGATCATTAGGTCCTGTTGTGGAGTCGGCATTCTGTGGAATGGAAATCTATGACTGTTTTGTATAGATTAACCAGTTTTTTACCATTGTAGTTTATTATACGTCTTTACTGATCTTCAATCACAGACGTAAGAAATCTGAAATACCTCTCTCAGTTGCGTGATACGAGATATTTTGAATGCTGCGTTCTCATTGACATACTCGATACTGTTGGCATGTGCAGTAAGCTCGAAGTACGGTGAAGTCGAAAAATTATGCGGATTCGAGCATTTTTTGTGTTGTTACGCATAGTGCTCTTCCAAATTATAAAATTGAAAGTGGTTTATTATGCGTTAATTTCATATCATTTCGTGGCTCTAACTGTTGCAGATGTATTTAAAGAGACGTTTTTGCTGGAAAAAGACTTTCCACATGACCATTAATAGACGTTAGGCTTAGATCTCGTGGAATTCAAAAATTTGATTATCCTCCAGAAAACCTTTTTGGTGCGCTGTAGTACGGAAAATGGAATTGTGTTTCACACACCTAGCATGTTACTACGCACATTTTCACCATTTATTTGCAAATGTTGTCTCCGTTTTGAAGAGAATTCTGGTATTTTTTCCGCACTGATGATGTAAAAGAAATTCGCTCTGTCGTTCTGTTGGCTCATGCTCTCCATTCTCTTACTATTTTGAGCAATAAAGCTGGCTAATAATCATCAGCGAAGCCTATGCTTGAAAGGCATATAGAAGTGTTGAAGAAATCTCCAAGTAGTGAAGTCATACGTTATACACAAAGTCTCTTTAAGGCGAAAGAAAATCTCTGGTTTTCAACAAAAACTACTCTTTATGTGAATCGCTCTGAGCGCTCTAGCGATTGCGCTGTTGCACAGCCACACATACACACCCCATCCGACAAACAATGTTGGGCTGTGGCCAAATACTTTCTGGCAAAATTCACTTAAAAGCTAGAAGAAGTCGTACGTTGCAGAATCATGCTCTCGAATT